ATTTACTCTTATTTTTTTCCTTACTACTTTTTTTAGTAAAATTAAATAATCTACTAATGCCACTTGGTTCTTTCTCTTTTCCTTTACCGGTATCTTTTTTGTTAGAACTCATATTTAATTATATGTAAAGTATAATATAAAAATAATAATAACACAAAAATTAATGAAGAAAAATAAAATATAAATATTATGAAACGAATGTACCAAACGTCTGCGTTAATAGCAGACGTTATAACCGATTCTTGAAGCTTGTAGTTTGTTGTAACTTGTAATTTGGAACTCCAATATTTGATAGCAATATTTGATAGCAAATATGAGAATTATATATATTATGATATAATATGAGACTTAAATGGAATAAAATATTGAGATTTGAGACTTAAGATTGAGACTTGAAAGGATATAAAAAATAGATGAGAGAATATATGATTTTGTAAGAAATAATAAGGGATAGAGGGGTATTTATAATATTAAAAGTGGGTTAAAGTGTATTTATAATAACTTGAGGGTTTAAAGTAAATTATTAAAAGTAGGGGTGGTAGGGGGTGTTGGGTAGGGGGAAAAAACTGTCAAAAAATCCGTTGGGGGGGCCCACTAGCCGTTGCCTAACGGATAGAATTAAAAAAAAAAAAAAAAAAGAAAATTGTTAGGGGATCCCGCGAACCGGCCGGTTCATCTGGGCCGGGACCGGGCCGGGTCGACTGGGACCAACGGGTGAACCGGACCGGTACCGGTCCCCTAATCCCGAAGCCCCCATCCCGCGAGTCTTTAACGGGACCGGGTCCAGCGAGCCGGTTCTCGGACCGATCGCGGGCCGACCCGGTCCCCCTGCCAATCTTAGCAGAGATCAAGTACTTATTGGTAGAAGGATCAAAGCATTTATAACTTTTTTGTAGATGAGAATACCCAAGAAAGACACATTTAAAAGCCGTGTGCTAAAATTTATCTTTTCCCGGGGTAAGGTTATGAACAAAACAGGTGCAACCAAACACACGTGGAGGAAGAGGAAACAAATTTTGGTCCGGATAAAGGACTGAGTGAGGACTCTGATACTGCAAAATAGATGAAGGCATGTGATTGATTAAATAACAAGTCGTAATAACAACATCACCCCCAAAACGTATAGGGACATGATTGTGAATGAGCAATGTTCAAGCTGTTTCAATTAGATGCATGTTCTTTTGCTCAGCAACTCCGTTTTGTTGAGGAGTATGTGCACAAGAAGACAAGTGCAATATGTCCTGGGATGACATAAAATAAGAGAGAGAAGTAGAGAAGTATTCTCGAGCATTATTACTGATTAACTTCTTAATGGAAATGCCAAATTGATTGCGGATTTCAGCATGAAATTTCTGAAAGATAGAGAATAGCTGAGATCTATTTTTCGTTAAAATTAACCATGTGCACCGAGAATAGTCTGACACGACTTGGACCCCATATATTCGAATGAATAATTTCAAACATAGAGGTGGCCCTATTATTGACGCGTTTGGGAAAGAGGAATGAGTGTGCTTACCAAGCTGACACGACTCACATTCTAACAAAGATAAACTAGATAAATTGGGGACCATCTTTTGCAATTTCAGGAGACTAGAAGACTTGGATGACCCAATTGACTATGGAGCAATTCAAAAGAAACAACAGAAGTGAAAGCAACATGTGGTTTTGGGATAAAGAGTAGGTACAATCCTTGTGACTCGTGTGTCCTTTTCTAATCACCTGCCCCGTACTCCGATCCCGCACAAAACAAAATCATCAAAGAAGGTTATAGTGCATTTTAGGTTTTTTGTTAATTTGCTAATGGAAATAAGATTGTATGGACCTTCAGGTGCAAAAAGGACTGATTTTACATGTATGGAAGGCAGAGGATGAGCTATACCTATCCCTTTTACAATCGTCTTTGATCCATTCGCCAAAGTAACAATAGAGAGAGTAGAAGGGGAAGTAAGATAGAGAGTGTTTTTGTCACCAGAAATATGGTCAGAAGCACCAGAATCAAGAATCCATTGTTCCTGAAACGAAGACTATGCGACATAATAAAAGGAGTTATTAGGTTGTATTGTGCAAGCAATTGATGATTGTTGCCTTGATTTTTAATACTGAAGGTAGTCATTATAGTCTGGTCCAATTAAAGGGATAGATTGAGATGATCCATCCAATATGAGCCTTTTTTTTGTCACAAAAAGAAGTATTGAAGAAAGAGAGATGAGATTTGACAGTTTTCTGATATTGTTGATTTAGCAACCAGTTGATCAATCCCTCTATTTTTTTTTTCAATTTTTATTACTGAAATAGAAGAACATTCCGAGAAAGGGCTAAAAAACCAATAGCTCTGATACCATGAGAAATTAGAAGAAGAAGAGATATTGGGAATTGAATTGATTGATCACTCCCTCAAGTTGATGGGATTAAATAACTTGTTACAGATAATGTAAATAAGGAAAGAAGATGATAAAATATTACACAATCTCGTAATTGCCTAATTAAAGAGATTAGAAAATATTCTCATATCTAGATTATTTAATCATACCATATTAAAAAAATTTCATATCTACACTATCCAAATATACCATAATTAACAACAACCATAGATAGAAAAAAGGTACACATGTTATTTTAACCTTGGGAGAGAAAGTATCATTGTAATCTAGCCCAAATATCTGAGTATACCCTTTGGCAGCAAAGCGAGCCTTAAGTCGATAAACTTGACTATTTAGACCAATTTTGATGGCATAACCCAACAGTAGCCAACAGTGGATTTGCCTAGCTTCCAAGTACCACTTGTATGTAAAGCAGACATCTCGTCTATCATAGCTTGCCTCCAACTGTGTGGGAAAGTGCTTCACCTATAGTTTTAGGGATGGAAATATAGGACAAAGATGATACAAAGGCATAATGAGGTGATGATAGACGGTGATAACTCAAGAAAGTGTAATGGGGGTTAGCATTACAAGTGAATCATATACCTTTTTGAAGTGCAATCGGCTGGCTAGGAAAAGGCATGTCCGTAGTAAGAGCAAAGTCTGGCGTATGACATGAGTCATCTAGGCCTACTGCTGGATGCGGAAGACGATGATAAGTCAGGAGTTGTGGCATTGCTGGTGGAGATGTAGAGTAACTGTAGATTTCTCAAAAGCCGGTATAGGTAAGAACTGAGATATGGACAAAACCTCAGAAATATCAACATGATTAGAAGATGTATAGTAAGGTTGAGATTCAAAGAATGTGACATCGGTTGACATAAGATATCGACGAAGATCAGGTGAATAGCAACAATGCCCTTTTTGAACTCAAAAGTAATCAAGAAAGACACATTCGAGAGCATGAGGGGCAAATTTATCTTTTCTTGGGGATATGTTATGAACAAAGCATGTGCTCCCAAAGACACAAGAGGGATAGAGTACATGTAACCAGTGTTATCAAAGGCGCGCTTTAAGCGCGCTTAAGCCCTAAAGCGAGGCTCAAAACGTGTTGAGCGCTTCGCCTCGCTTTATGTGTGCTTCAGTGTTGTCATCAAGGTTCTAAGACAAACATTTCCTTGCCAATGAGCCTCTTATGAAGAAGTGACACTAAATAATTGATATTTCACTTTATCATAATATTTTTTCAATTTCTTTGGTCATATATTTGTCATTCATATTTATAATTATTAGTCTTGGCTAAACATATATATTTGTATTCTTTTCTCCCTTTGCGCCTTTTTTCATTAAAGCCCACGCTTTATTTGCGCTTTGCGCTTAAAGCCCCCACGGACCTTAGAGCTTTTTTGCGCTTTTCGCTTTTGATAACACTGCATGTAACTGAGGAAACAATATGGAATAGAGAATCTGATTCTGAATGTAAGATGAAGGCATTCTATTAATTAAATAATAACAAGATGTGAGGATTGCATCACCCCAAAAGTGCAGTAGAACATGGGATTCAATGAGAAAAGTGCCAGCAGTCTCAATGAGATGTCTATTCTTCCTTTTTGTTGAGTGGTGTACGAACAAGATGTCTAGTGAATAATTCCTTAGTGAATCATAAATTCCTGAAACTGGTAGGATAAGTATTCTAAGGTATTGTTACTACGAAAAGTATGAATCGAACACCAAATTGATTTTGTATTTCAGGAAAACTTTTGGATATAGGAAATCACTCAGAATGATCTTGCATTAAGAAAATCCAACTACATCTTGAATAATCATCAATGAGACTAACAAACTAACAAAATCCTAAGGTTGGCTGATTCTAGTAGGACCCCAAATATTAGAATGAACTAATGGAAAAATAGACAGATCTGGTTTTGTGGTGTTTCCGTGGTCACCGGCAGAGATAGAGAAAGAAAGTGTTGCAGAGAGGTTCTTGCATTCGCCGGAAAAGAAAGAAGAAGACCAGAGTTTCTTGCATTCGCTGGAAATGAAAGAGAGAAGAATAAGAAGACCAAAGCAGTATTTTCCTTATTCAGTCGTAGTCGCCGGCAGGTTTTATTACTCTGAGGAGTTTGCCGGAGATCATTCTTGCCGAAGGTTGCTGGGAAATTGCAGGTTACCCAGCGGTTGTCATATATTGAAGAAGAATTCTCATCTTTGTTTTATCTTTTATTTTTTTCCTCTATTTTATTTCCCATTTTATGTTACTGAGCTTGTTTTGTTATCTCTTAGAACAGACGTGGTGGAAAAACATGGGACAGGATTATGGCCTTACAATGCAAATAATGTTCCCTTCCCCTTTTTCTCTTTCAACTTCTTGCTTGATTAGCAAATCTTTCACTCCTGTGAATACACTTTTGCTGTAACACCAGTCATTCATCAAAAATTATAACTGCAAGGATTCCTTTACCCAAAAACTTCCTTTTCTTTCTTATGCCCTCTTATTTGTGATTACGACTTGGTTGGTCAAAGTTTGTTACTCTTATTGAATTCAGTTTTTATTTGAAGATTTTAATACAATTGAGTTCTGATAACTTATTTTAGGTAAAACTTCATATTTTAATGGAAAACTTCTTTTTTTTTATCCAGGTGGCAGCAGCTTCTTATAAACAGACTTGTGGGATATGACACTATATTGATGAATAGTTTGTTGAATTCTCCTGGTGAAGGTATAAAGTATTCAAGACCTCAACAACCTTTTGTCTGTTTATCTGCTCTCACTTGAGTAACAGCATATCCTGAGGTTCTGTGTCCACTGCTATATTCCATTACATTGGCCATATTACTGTATGATAAACCAGGAGGCCCCATCTGCATACTTAAAGCTAGAACAAAATAAGTAGGTGACAGTTTCGTTATAAATGGAAAAATCAAATCATACTTGACATTGTGTTGAACTAGAACCAGAACTACCTGCACAAATACTTGGTTTGAACAGCTTGAAACGTATTGTGACTGGTTTAGGCAGCTTAAAGAAAAGACTTGTGCGCAATTGTAGAGTGAAAATTTATGGTTCAACACAGTTGCACACTAGTCGCCTACATTTGACATTGAAAAGTCAGTTTTTGTACATAAATTACATCATGTGGAAGATCAATAATTTCCAAACACTACAATCAAATAATTACTATGCCTAAAAGCCGTACTATATGAATCTTCTATATCCATGAAAAGATCCTCTATTTCAAGTGTGCTCATTTGGACTAATATATTTGAGAAGGTAAAGTAATTTTATGAATTAGATCAGCGCAAAGGATGTGCTATTGGGATGTACCATTAGCAAAAGAACACTCAACAAAAGTGTGCCCTGTCTAATCTTGTAAAGAGTCTAATGATTGTAGAACTGTTTCAGCCTCATATGCATGTTCCATCCTACACCATAAGCAAAACAAAATATACAGTTACACTTTATCTTGTTGGTAGAGCTCACAGAATCTTCAAAACATCTTCTATTTGGGATAATTTCATTAGAATACTAAATATTTTCTTTCAAGACATATTAGCGGTTCTCTAGAATCAGTGTGTAAGAGTCCTTGTGAATATTCTAGAATATATGTAAATATAGTAGGTAGAAGGGTCGAGCACGTTGCAGTGGGCTTGCCTAGTGCGGGTTACCTCTCCTGTGAGGTTTGCGAGCTATTGCATAGGAGCGGAGGTATTACCTTGTGCACACCCAAAGGGTAGCGGCTACAAATTTTCCTTGTCGTAAAAAATAAGAAAATAAATAGTAGGTAGTGTAATTAAGTTGCTCGGCCTCTCCAAAAATGTTGCCACATCCTTGTCGGATCCTTAAAAAAACACTATTTTTGAAGGATCCAACACACACCCGTTGACATTTTTGAAGAGTCCGAGCAACATAGGTGTAATCTACTCCTATTATAATTAGGTACCGACATGCCTTTCCCTACATGCACATGTATGCTAACTAGACTATAAAGTCATTTTGAAGGGTAATCACATTATGGCTAATTTATGAGTTTTTTACACAATTTCTCTGAAGTTTGGGGTAAGTCCATTTTCCTCGAAATATCACAATGGAACATATTTAGTCATTCAAGTTTTCAAAAATTAAGCTTAGTCTTTAGTAGAATGTCAAACTATGTTTTTTAAAACTGATGGAGAAGTCACTTTTATAACCTCAACTCTACTCTTCTTGAGAAAAGAGCCAAAAAAAAACTCTTGTTTCTTTTATCTATATAAAAAACACCCCACCCTTTTTTTCTTCATCATTGTAGAACAAAGTGTCACACAATTCTTCCTTCACATGACTACACCATGGACCTCTTCTACCTCACCCCAGAGAATCTTACACCTAACTCCTATTTTTAGTCATCTTTACATTCCTTCATGATCTATATAAATTCACTCATAGAGACAACACATACAAAACAACATAACGAGAAATATATGTATATAATAAAGTAGAAAGAGCTTTGCGATACACAAACAACCTTCTCATTCTTATCACAACCGGGAGAGCAGACTAGCCAAATACACACACATTCACTCATCCCCAAAAAATGACATACATTTCACATTCCTTCACTCTTTTTCTCCATACCATAACAATAGAGGCATGCAAGAGCTTACCATAGTGACAATTGGTGCCCACTTTCCCTCTAATTTCAGAGTTTATTCATCACATCCAAGTAGAAAGCTCTTAGAGGCACTCATTCATACTCTGACACAAATACCCACGCCCATACTGAGTTAGTTGAGAAAACATACATTCATCTCACCACAATATGACACATAACTTTCCACTACAAAAGAGCCGACACAATTAGCTTTGACTCTTGCTAGTGTGTCTTTAGATATGAGCATAAGATGATCATATGCATTGCTCGTGACTTTCCATCTACATGAGTTGTCTCATAAATTCTCTTTCAACAAACAAACTTTATAATTAAAGTAAAAAAGATCAGAAGTGCTCAAGTTTATATTTTAGGGACAAAGTAGACCTACCCACAATGTTTGGGACCAGTTACTGTGTCGGTTCAGCAGAGTGGTTTCACCAAAGGTGTTCTTTCCGATCTGTATGCATTTCACTCTCTGCTAGACCCTTTGCTCCTACCAAGCACCTAAACAAGAATTCTTGAATAATAAATAACAATATTTACGATCAAGAAGTACCTAATTATGTTTTGGATTGGCCATGAAAGGAGAAGTCTAGAATGCCAACAGGTGCTTGTTATATTGAATTTACCTGATAAACATCTCGGGACATTGATTGGGTAAGTCCAAAATGACACTTTCTTCTGACCCATTCTTTTCCCTCTTTTTGTCACTCAGAAAAGACAATCAAAGCGACCTCCTTGAATTCAAGCAATCTTTTTGTAGGTGTTTGTCCTCAATTCAATTGGGAGATTCAAGTATTGTATATGTAATGTCCGATTCTTTTTAGGAACTTCCCATAATAACAAACTTGCAAAATGGGTTTGTGTTATAAACTCTTTTTTTTTATGTGATCGTCAACCTATCACTACTCCCTCCTTTTATCTAGGCTTGGAATCAATATGCGAAACTCACATAGGCAAAGTTGTTCTCCAAACTCTCAATGACAACATACCTCGTGAAATTCCACAAGTGGGGTTTGGGGAGGGTAGAGTGTACATAGATCTTACCCCTACCTCATGGAAGTAGAGAGGCTATTTCCAAAGGGCCCACATCTCAAGTGTAGCAAATCAAAATAGTAATGAAAAATGAAAAACGGTAGTGGAGAAAGCATGCCAACTAATAGAGAAGAAAAAAGTAGCATCCACAAAATAGTGTGATCACCGAAATACAATAAATAACAAATGGTAACAGATAACAAAAGAAAAAAATTACATGAATAGCACTAATACTACGATTGACACGATGCTCGAGACCACCACTAAGCGTAATCCCATTGAAAAGCAATTAAAAGCTCCACTGCCTACTCTAATCTTCTACCCTAATTCACGACCTCCACATCTTCGTATCTAAGGTCATCTCCTCGGTAACCTGAAGTTGCGCCATGTACTTTCTAATCACCTATTCCAATGCTTCTTTGGCCTACCTCTACCTCTCCTCGTACCCCCTGTATCCAACCTCCCACACTTCCTCATGGGGGCATTTGCACATCTCCTGTTTTTTGATGAACTAAAGGCTTCCATTGCTTGCATCAAGGAGATGCATACGAGTTACAAAAGAGTGTAGCAAAAATAACTAAGAAGCTCCATTACAAACATTATACTAAAGACAAGGAACTAGCAAAGTTCAAAAGGGTATCTGGGGAATCTATAGGGGACAAATAAACCCAACTATACAGATACAAAATGCATTTAGCTCTTAGAGATCGGTAGGTAGTTGATATTGTTAGAACAAAAATACTCAAGAAACTGATCTATTAGAACAAAAATACTCAAGAAACTGATTTGAAGAATAAAAATTGAGTGAACTTATGAAATTCCAGCTATATATTAATTTGCATAAGATCTGAATTTATACAAGGAAAAACCTAACCATTTCCTATCTAGTAGCCACTAACAACCATAAAAGGGGCCACTAACAGCCATTAAAGGGGCCACTAACTTCAGAAAGTTGAGCAACTAAAGTTGACTAAGTCTAGCTTAAAAATAGGAAGCACTAAACTGAAATAAGTAAAAAACAGTAAAAATAATAAGCTGGAAAAAATGCCAATTTTCTAACACTCCTCCTTGGCATTTTTGTGGCAAACACCAATTCGTTGCCTCAGATCTTCAAACCTTTCCTTTGGCAATGACTTAGTGAAAATGTCAGCTAGCTGGTTCTGAGATGAACAATGAACAAGCAACACTTCATTAGATTGTTGGACTTCTCTAATAAAATGAAACTTGATCTTGATATGCTTAGTTCGACCATGAAACACTGGATTTTTTGAGATAGAAACTGCTGAACTGTTGTCACACATGATCTTGGTAGCTTCTGTTTGTTCATAGCCCAAGTCTTTCAACATCTTCCTTAGCCAGATAGCTTGATTCACAGCAGATGCAGCAGCTATGTACTCAGTTTCTGCTGTTGATTGAGCTGTAGTTTCTTGTTTCCTAGAGCTCCAACTAAAACAACTTGTCCCCAAACAAAAAAGATATCCAGTGGTGCTTCTGGAATTATCAACTCCGCCACCCCAATCACTATCAGAGTACCCGATCAGGTTCATGGTTACTTCGGCAGATGTTGGGAAAAAAATTCCAAACTTGCTGGTTCCTTTAATATACCTTAACACTCTTTTAGCCGCTGTGAAGTGTGTGTCTCTAGGCGAATGCATGAACCTAGAGAGCAAACTTACAACAAATAGAATGTCAGGTCTGCTTGCGGTTAGATATAGAAGACTGCCAATTAAGCTTCTATACATACTATCATCCACTTTTTCGGAATCCTCATCCTTGCCAAGCTTCACACCAGTAGAGATTGGAGTACTCACAGGTTTGCAGTCTTGCATTTTGAACCTGTTTAGAATATCTGAAATGTATTTCTGCTGGCATATGAAAATTCCATCACTGGATTGCAACACTTCCATGCCAAGAAAGTACTTCATGACTCCAAGATCAGTCATTTCAAAGATTTTCTCCATTTCATCCTTGAACCTTTGGATTAGTTCAATTTTGCTTCCTGTCACAAGCATGTCATCCACATAAATTGAGACAATTAAGGACTCACCTGCAGTGAC